TATGCACAAGAGATTGAAACAATTCTGGTAGGTCTGTATCTTCATGTTAGTGATCTCACTTTTATTAAATGTCAGAAATGACTCATCATAATTTGTGATATAGTTTTAATAATTAATGTGAAAGAAAGAAAGCGTTTTGTTAACACAGACAGAAAATTCAAGATAAAACCAGTTGAAGACAATAACATAACTTTTACCAATCGCTCAAGAAGTAGTTCATTAAGTAAATTTTGTTGAAAAACATTAATATTTTGGTTGAATGTAGTTATTAGGTTACTTTTAATCCATGAATTTTATTAAATATTTCATTCATTTTACTTGCCCGTGACAAACAAACAAACGTTTTGCTTTTAAGTGTTGTTTTACTGAGAACTCGTAAGACATATCTGTGTGGTTACTTAATTTCCCGAACTTAGATAATTTAACAGAAATATGAAACTTTAAACAAAATTGAAATAAAAAAGAGTATATATTTTTTTGTATAAAAGTGGACCGTCTTGACCGTTTTTAAAGTGTGCCTCCTAGTGGTTCAGAGGGAAGTCTAAAGGATTATAACGCTAAAAACCGGGTTTTAATAGCTTTGGTGAGCACAGCACAGATAATCCATTGTGTAGCTTTGTACTTAACAATAAACAAACAAATAACCATTTTGTGAAAAAAATCGTAATTCCTGTTTTGCCCAGTACTCCCTAGTTTGTCAGTAAATCGTGATTCCTGTTTTGTCCAGTACTCCCTAGTTTGTCAGTAAATCATGATTCCTGTTTTGTCCAGTACTGCCTAGTTTGTCAGTAAATCGCAATTTCTGTTTTGCCCTGTACTGCTCAATTTGTCAATAAATCGTGATTCCTGTTTTGTCCAGTACTGCTCAGTTTGTCAATAAATCGCAATTTCTGTTTTGCCCAGTACTGCCTAGTTTGTCAATAAATCGTGATTCCTGTTTTGGCCAGTACTGCCTTGTTTGTCAATAAATCGTGATTCCTGTTTTGCCCAGTACTACCTAGTTTTTCAATAAATCGTGATTCCTGTTTTGTCCAGTAGTGATCAGTTTGTCAATAAATCGTGATTTCTGTTTTGCCCAGTTCAGCCCAGTTTGTCAATAAATCGTGATTTCTGCTTTGCCCAGTACTGCCTAGTTTGTTAACATATTGTGATTCCTGTTTTGTCCAGTTTGTCTATAAATCGTGATTCTTGTTTTGCCCAGTTCTGCCCAGTTTGTCAACTTATTGTGATTCCTGTTTTGTCCAGTACTGCTAGTCTGTCAACAAATCGTGATTCCGGTTTTGCCCAGTACTGCCCTGTTTGTCAATAAGGCAATGTCTATTCAAAACGAAGGGTTTACTTCACATGGATTAAAGAATACCGTGTGTCTTTTCGTAATGTCGGATCTTATGTTCTTACCATGCTTTTCAAGGAAATATCTGTTAAAACAAGTATCTTTTATCACCGGAAACGAAAAAAGTAAAACAATCAGACAAATAAACACCACCACCACCACCACCACCACCACCACCACCACCAACAACAACAACAACAACAAAAACCCTTAACTTATCGAGTGTAAAATCTTGTAATCATAAACTAATGAAAGTTTACAAGATCAAGATGGAAAATGAATGAAATGAAAAGCTTCATGGACACATTAAGGAGTTTTGAAAATTATGTTTTTATCAACTATTATTGCCCTCATTTGAAAACATACCAAGTATTTCATACTTGGATCATACTTGATATTATAATACTTGAGCCTAATTACATCTGAAATAAAACGGGTAATTATCTAAGTAACCAGTGTGAAAGTTAGTAAACATGTCCTTGCGACAAATCAGTTTCAATAATTTAGCTGGTTTAATGTGAGCCCGGCCTGTTGCTTAGAGAACCGGACTGTGGTGCTGAGGTACAATGGTTCCTGTCCCGTTACCGCCATGAAAAAAACAAACCTGATCCACATATTGGAATTCGTAGGTGGGTTAAAAGAGTGACGGTCAAATCACACTATTCGGTCTGATAAGAATAACCCAAGGGTTGGCGGTGAGTTCTTTTGACTAGCTATCTTCACTACAGTTTATTACTTTGAAATTTGGAAATGTCTATCGCAAATAGTCCTCTCGTAGCTTTGTTTGATATTTAACAAACAACAAAAAGTAAATAAAAGTGTATGTCTTTCGATGAGTCTACTTACAACGCTAAAATCCGGTGTTCGCAGATAGCCCATTGTGTAGTTTTCCGATGAAATAAGAATAAAAAAGTTTATAGTTTTTTTATTATTGTTTTAAGCAGTTTGATATGTTTCTCTGTTGTTCAATCTTGAGATTATTTTGATTAAAAGACAAACTGTCTAGCACCCCCAGTGGCACAGCGGCATGTCTGCAGACTTACAACGTTAGAATCCGGGTTTCGATACCCGTGGTGTGAAGAGCACAGATAGCCCATTTTGTTGTTTTGTGCTTAATTACAAACAAAAAAACAGTCTAATAATCAATGTTCCAATTTTTATAACACTACTGGAAGCAATATGGAAAAGATGTACAGTAACTGTACTTAAAATTTATTATTAGTTTTGGAAACACTTTAGTTTTAAATTTCCAAATCTTTCACAATTCGTTAACTGTTTCCGTAGGACATGTCTATGAAGCGTCCAAGGTCGAATAGTCAAGTTATGTCATAAAAAAGCTTTGCATGTCACCATTTGAAGAATAAAGGAAGACAAACAATACTTCAAAAAAGTTTGAAACTAAGAGTCTCCATAATGAGCTGTTTTTGATTCTTTTTTTTTAATTACCCTTAGCGTACTAGTTAGGACTTGAAACTAAGAGTCTCCATAATGAGCTGTTTTTGATTCTTTTTTTTTAATTACCCTTGGAGTACTAGTTAAGACTCGAAACTAAGAGTCTCCATAATGAGCTGTTTTTGATTCTTTTTTTTTTTAATTACCTTTGGAGTACTAGTTAGGACTTGAAACTAAGAGTTTCCATAATGAGCTGTTTTTGATTCTTTTTTTATTTCATTATCCTCGGAGTACTAGTTAGGACTCGAAACTAAGAGTCTCCATAATGAGCTGTTTTTGATTCTTTTTTCTTTAATTACCCTCGGAGTACTAGTTAGGACTTGAAACTAAGAGTTTCCATAATGAGCTGTTTTTGATTCTTTTTTTCTTTAATTACCCTCGGAGTAATAGTTAGGACTTGTGAGAATATTTTGTGGATAGATTTTCTCCGTCGATTATAACGAGCTCTATAATGAATATTTCTCTGAATGTTCTTATAAAACAAAACGTAGTAATTAACTAAACAAAATAAGTTGTTTTTTTTTCAAATAGAGCAGTATTTGAGAATGGTAATTAGTAAATCCCAATAATCGGCTGGTTTCTGTGACATTAAATAAAACTCGTAAAATAAATATAAAATATAAAAAAAAGGGAAAGCCACTTGTTCTTATTATTATGATTCAAAAAAATGTTAAATTTATTTTATTTCTTAAAAAAATGAGTATACGACAAACTGCATTTCCTTTCAAACAGATCTAGAAAGACCACATTAGAACTGTCGAGAATTTCTGATGTAGCCTCAGTCTTGTTCTGGATCAAATTACTTTTGAATGAGCAAGTAATGATGCACGCTACAAATTAACATTACATTTGTTGTATAAGCTTTCTTTAAAAATGTTGAAGAGGCATCGAAGCAAAACCAGAGAGTTTTTGTATTCACTCTGGGGTTTCTAGACATTAAATTACGAGGTCTCGTAATTACGTGTATTTGGAAATTATTATCATGCGTTGATGAACATAAAAGAAGTTCATTCAGTTGTCTTTACAATGAATGAATAACATGAATGAACTTAATCACTAGAAATTAGGGCTACTTTAAATCGATATTATTTTCTGACAGTTGCAATCATATAACCCTGCTGCTTAATAAGATTTCAAAGCTTAGGGCACGTATCTTTATTTCCTGATTGTTTTTATCCGAAAGTTATTTTCAACTTCATTGATATTAATTTTACATGCAACGTAATTTGATAACAATTTTCAGGATAAATTACTCATTTTATTCGTTGTGTGAATATGAAGGCTAGTTCTTGTACACTTTAATTCAAACAATACCATGATTGTTCCAAAAGCTTTAATCCTCATTCGTTACATTTGTTTTAACACCATTCTACCAGGAGCACTAAGATATAAAAAAAGAATAACTTTACCTCAATTGCTTTTTAATTTAGTGCAGATAATAATACGTGTGTTGTTTCAAGAATTGAGGAAGTAAAAATCTTTAACGTAATATATATATATATATATATATAGATATATTATCTCTTGACATATGAAATATAAATACTCTGTGATATATTTCATGTAATTATATAGCGTTATTTCAACTTAAACGTTTGACAATCAGTCATACTACATGACCGTTATGAAACTCTAAAGAAATAATCAATCTAATGTTTGTTTTTGTACTGTTGATTGTTTTTTTAAAGTTCGTTTGGAGTGTTATTTAAATATAACTTGGTATTGCGTTATTCGGACAAAGTTATATAAGGTTGTGACTTGATATTAAAGAACGTGATAACAAAGTTATTTGTTAATCCAGTGTTAGTAGTGCCCATACGTCTTACAACAAGATAAACACTGTTATTGTGGCATTAAATATGCTGTCATAGAAACACAAACTTTCATACATAGTGTTCTCTAACACATTTCAATCCCGCGTACCTTTACAATCATGTTATTCTTGCAGTACAACATGACGTTAGAGAGAGATGTTCATGCTGATCTGTAATACGTGAAGTTTCAAACACAAGTACCAGGAGATTTTCATTTTTATTTTAACATGAAATACAATGCCACAGTGCGTCTTCTCACATGTCATACTCCAGCTTTGGATAAATTAAACTTTTTAAATACAAGTCTAAGAAGTAACCCTAACACAAGTATTTATTTAGAACCAGTACAGAAATTTCTGATAATATCCTAATCAATGTTGTTGTTTTTTTCTACTTTTCAGTAGTTGCAACCCTTCGCATAGTTTCACTCGATATTCCGAAGAAAGTGAAGTCAGGCAGGGAAGTGAAACTGACATGTTTATACGACCTTGAGGGAGATAGGCTTTACTCCATCAAGTGGTACAGAGATGATAAAGAATTTTACCGCTTTGTTCCAAACGACACGCCTCAAAAGCAGTACTTTCCGCTAGATGGAATTATAGTTGACGTAAGCATACTGAATGATCTATGCTAAAATATTACATAAACTTACTGAAGGACTTGTTTTTGTAAATGAACTTACCTTACTACAAGAAGTATAAATGGCATAAGCTTACTGAAAGATTTGTCTTGGTATATGAGATATAATTGACTTAAGCTTGCTGGAATACTTGTGTTGATACATGTGATACATCTGACATAACCCTACTGAAATATTTGCTTTGGTATATGAAGTATAACAGACGTAAACTTACTGAAATGCTTGTGTTGATACATGTGATACATCTGACATAAGCCTACTGAAAGATTTGTCTTGGTATATTAAGTATAACAGACGTAAGCTTGCTGAAACGCTTGTGTTGATACATGTGATACATCTGACATAAGCCTACTGAAAGATTTGTCTTGGTATATTACGTATAACAGACGTAAACTTGCTGAAACGCTTGTGTTGATACATGTGATACATCTGACATAACCCTACTGAAAGATTTGTCTTGGTATATTAAGTATAACAGACATAAACTTACTGAAATGCTTGTGTTGATAAATGAGGTAAATCTGACATAACCCTACTGAAATATTTGCTTTGGTATATGAAGTATAACAGACGTAAACTTACTGAAATGCTTGTGTTGATACATGTGATACATCTGACATAAGCCTACTGAAAGATTTGTCTTGATATATTAAGTATAACAGACGTAAGCTTGCTGAAACGCTTGTGTTGATACATGTGATACATCTGACATAACTCTACTGAAAGATTTGTCTTGGTATATGAAGTATAACAGACGTAAACTTGCTGAAACGCTTGTGTTGATACATGTGATACATCTGACATAACCCTACTGAAAGATTTGTCTTGGTATATTACGTATAACAGACGTAAACTTGCTGAAACGCTTGTGTTGATACATGTGATACATCTGATATAACCCTACTGAAAGATCTGTCTTGGTATATTACGTATAACAGACGTAAACTTGCTGAAACGCTTGTGTTGATACATGTGATACATCTGACATAACCCTACTAAAAGATTTGTCTTGATATATTAAGTATAACAGACGTAAACTTGCTGAAACGCTTGTGTTGATATATATGAGGTACATCTGACATAAGCCTACTGAAAGATTTGTCTTGGTATATTAAGTATAACAGACGTAAACTTGCTGAAACGCTTGTGTTGATATATATGAGGTACATCTGACATAAGCCTACTGAAAGATTTGTCTTGGTATATGAAGTATAACAGACGTAAACTTGCTGAAACGCTTGTGTTGATATATGAGGTACATCTGTCATAAGCCTACTGAAAGATTTGTCTTAGTATATGAGATGTAACTGACGCAAGCTTACTGACATACTTGCATTGGTATATGAGGTATAACTGACATAAGCTTAACAAATGACGTATGTTTAACTTAAAACTTACATTGGTATATCAGGTATAGCTAACGTTAACTTACTAAAATATTTATCTTGATATATGAAGTATAACTGACGTAAGCTTATTAAAATTCTTTTTGTATGTATGAGGTATAACTGTTGTACGTTGAACTGATTTGTTTTAGTATAACGTTGAACTGATTTGTATTAGTATAAGGGGTATAAATGGCCTAAGCCTACTAAATTATCTTTGCATAGGAGGAGCTTACTGAGTATTTCATGTTGTATGGCTAACGTAAGTTCATCTAAGAATGTGAAAATAAGCTTAATAAACTAAAGCGAATGGTTTCTTTGTTTTTGAATTTCGCGCAAAGCTACACGAGGGCTATCTGCGCTAGCCGTCCCTAATTTAGTAGTGTAAGACTAGAGGGAAGGCAGCTAGTCATCACCACCCACCGCCAACTCTTGGGCTACTCTTTTACCAACGAATAGTGGGATTGACCGTCACATAATAACGCCCCAACGGCTGAAAGGGCGAGCATGTTTGGTATGACGGGGATTCGAACCCGTGACTCTCAGATTGCGAGTCGAGTGCCCTAACCACCTGGCCATGCCGGGCCCGCGGATGGTTTATTTTGGTACATCGTTAATTCACAAACAAGTGACTCAGTCTTCGTTGTGGAAATTGGTTGAGATAGTTTACTTAATTATTTGTGTCGTAAGGGTTATTTAACATATTTTTCAAATTGAACACACGTTGCGTTATTTAGAAACATTCTTGTAAAACAATGACGCGAGATTAAAACATATTATGAGAGATATTTTTCCTTAGTATGCAGAAAACATTATATTTACTAAATTATTAATTTCGTAATCTGGGAAATATATACCATAATTTACTCAATTATTATCCTGGGATGCGCGAAGTTTTCCATGTAAAGATATTTTTGGACGTAGAAATATATGACGCAATTTACTAAGTAATTCATTTTGCGATTCTAGGAATATTTGATGTAACTTACCGACAGATTTAATTTAGGACGTTGGAATATTTTATATGATTAATTAAATCGTTTAACTTTGAATGTACAGAATATATGTTGTAATTATTAAGTGTGATTTGGTATATGAGGAATGCTGATGTCATTCACTAAAGTGATTATCTTAAGATATTTGGAACAAATTATATAATTTGGGAAGCATTTGACGTAATTTACAATATCAAATAACTTGAGCAGAGGAGAATATTTGATACAAATACTGGATGGTTGATTTCGGTAAATTATCAACTAAATATGATGTTACAGTATATAAGAAACACGTGACCTAATTTACTGAACGAAAGTACTCGACTTCATTTTCTAAATGAATTTTTAATAAAAAACGTTAGTGAGTGAAAAATCTTTAGTTTTACGAACCGTGGTGAAATTGTGTACACCATTTACGTTAGATGACGCTTTATATGATTTTAATTAACTTCATTCTTCTCTCTGGTGGCCTTTACTTCTCTTTATTTATTTAACTATTGCTTACTCTAGTATTTAGCGCTTTCATTCGTAGTTTTTAACAATACTTCTTCGGTCAGATAGTATCTTTTTTTCACATATTTTATACACGTCTTGGTTTGTCGGTGATACCTTATAAAACTTTACCAGCCTTTCTCTAGATGCTGTAATTTCAAGTTGCTAACAGTACAATTATTTAACAAAACTTCAGTTTTCAGCAATTAATTATATGATTTTTTCTTCGAACTTTTAACTTGAAGATGATTCTCTACTTAGGCCCAGCATGGCCAGGTGGTTAGGGCGTGCTCTACTCGCAATCTGAGGGTCGCGAGTTCGAATCCCCGTCCCACCAAACATGCTCGCCCTTCCAGCTGTGGGGGCGTTATAATGTGACGGTCGATCCCACTATTCGTTGGTAAAAGAGTAGCCCAAGAGTTGGCGGTGGGTGGTGATGATTAGCTGCCTTCCCTCTAGTCATACACTGCTAAACTAGGGACGGCTAGCGCAGATAGCCCCCGTGTAGCTTTGCGCGAAATTAAAAAACAAACAAACCAAACCTCTCTACTTCTGATGTACAATACTTTCCAATAAGCTCTTTTTATTCTTTCTTCTGACTTACACATCTTTCTTCAAAACTAACGCTATCTAACTAAAACCTGTAGCGATCTTCCTGGGCAACACAAGTTCTCTCGCTGTGATGTGTCCCAATCTCACGAGACATATCATTTTTGATATTGATATTAACATTTTTCCTACATGCTGTATTATTTTTTGTGATCTATATCCTTCCGCAAGATATTACATTATGTTATCGTGGTGGATATGCTTCTGTCTAGATTACGTTAACTCATATTTTAGTGTTTGGAAGAAGAAAAAAATAATATGGTGCCTTATTTAACTGTGATTTCATTTATTTTCTATTTAGCCTTTTCTATCTATGATCTCCATTCATATGATGCCTTCATCAATTTTCCTAAATGTCTTCTTCTATCATTTGATCAGGAATGTTTCACAAGCTGTCTTTTTCTTTCTGAATGATTAGAAACATTCTTCCTAGTTGCCGTCCTCTCTCGATTTGATCAGAAACTCCCTCTTTACTGTTGTCCTCTCTCGACGTGATTTGGAACTCCCTCTTTACTTTACTGTTGTCCTCTTTCAATGTGATCAGAAACTCCCTCTTTACTGTAATTCTCTCTCGATGTGATCAGAAACTCTCTCTTTACCGTTGTCCTCTCTCGACGTGATTTGGAACTCCCTCTTTACTTTACTATTATCCTCTTTCAATGTGATCAGAAACTCCCTCTTTACTGTAGTTCTTTCTCGATGTGATCAGAAACTCTCTCTTTACTGTTGACCTCTCACGATATGATCAGAAACTCTCTCTTTACTATTGTCCTCTCTCTATAAGATCAAAAACTCCCTCTTAGTTGTTTTCCTCTCTCGATATGAGCAGAAAACCTTTCTTTGCTGTTGTCTTCTCTCTATGTAATCAGAAAAGTCCCTTAGCTACTGTCCGCGCTAAATGTAATCACATATTTTCCTCCTGTTAGATGTTATTTTGTTTTTATTTACTTCTTTGTCTTGGGTATTTTTTGAATTACTTAGTGAAACCCATGAGCATTTTAGAAATATGTTGCTTAATATATAGTTATATAAAAACAGAATATAAATACTTTTTCTTTACTGTGTTATAAAGAAAAAAATTTTCTTTTGAGTTTGGTTTTTGAATAATATTAAACACTCAAAACTGCACCTTGTTTATTCGAAAATGTTATTAAAGTTTTGATAACAGCCACTTTATGTAAGACAACATATTTTACCAATTAACTAAGAAATTGCTACACCACATTATGGGTTCGAATCTCCGTCCCACCAAACATATTCGCCCTTTCAGCCATGGAGGCGTTATAATGTGACAGTCAATTCCACTATTCGTTGGTAAAAGAGTAGCCCAAGGGTTGGCGGTGGGTGGGGAAGACTAGCTGCCTTCCCTCTAGTCTTACACTGTAAATTAGGGACGGCTAGCGCAGATAGCCCTCGGGGAACTTTGTGCGATATTCATAACAAACAAACACCACATTACTTTGTTTGTAGGCTTACGTCATGAGTG